CGGTGCCATTTCTACAAAAACATGTAAAAATATTTTTTGAGCTCTCTTAGTTTATATTATAGTAGGTACATAGGTGTTGAAAATTAGTTTTGTTCAGCTGCTAACCTGAACATTAGAGGTTTGACCTTATCCAGTGGAATTTCTGAAGAAAAGGCTATTATATGCTTCCATAAAGATGGTTGTTGTTATGTGCTGTCGAGTCGCCTGCAATTCTTCGTGACCTTATGTACAACAGCTCTGAAGCCTGCCCTATCCTGAGCCAGTCTCACTGACTCCAACACTCCTACACCCATTGCTCCAGTTACTGTATAATCAATCTCATCTGGGGTCCAGCCAGTCCTACAAAGCAGTTCTATTCTGAAATTGCTGGAGAGCTAGGAGCTGGATGGAAATGCATTATGGTTTTTTGTTTTTCTTGCTCATATTAAGTTATTTAAGGGAGATCTAGAGGCTTAGTGGACAGCTGTCATCTTGTCAACCCAAAGACATGCAGTTTGAATCCATCAACTTCTCCATAGGAGAAAGATGGGAAATCTCCTCCCCTGTGATTTACTGCCCTTGAATTGGAGGATGAGCTATATGAGTTGGTTTTGACTTGATGGTACACGATAACAACAATTATGGTACAAAAGTTTCTCTGGTGAATGAAGCATCACAAATAGTCAATGGCTTGAATCCACTAGCTGTGCTGCAAGAGAAATCTTCTTTCCTTGAAGATTTACAGCTTTTGAAACCAGATGAAATACTGCTATGAGCTGGAATCAACTTGATGGCAGCAGATTTGGTTTAGGTTTGTACTTAAGGTTTGGATTGCCAACCAAATCGTCAGCTGTTCGACTCCATCAGCTGCACTGCAGGAGAATGTGTCCCATAAATATCCATAGCCTCCAAAACCTAATAGAGGGTCACTGTGAATTGTAAGAATTCAAGGGCAGTAGGTTTGGGTTTTTATTATAGTACTCTGCCCATGGTGGACAGTGTTTGCTGGAGCTTCCTGACTCAAACAAGCCTGGAAGTAGGAGTGGCATCCACTTCCAAAAAGGCTTGCCTCCGGAAACTCTATGACTAGTGCTCAGGCCTTTCGTTCATGGGGTCGCTGTGAGTCATCTATGACTCGACTGCACTGAACAACAACACCCTGCATGGGACATATGTTCAATAAATAAGAGAAAGATATGTTCTATGCCCTCAGTTCTTAGCCTACTAAAGGTATTAACACCACCAAAATAATTAGAATACAATTAATTCATTGCTATACTACAACAACATAACAGATGACATACATGTGTGGATGCTTAGGAGTATGTGTGCATCTGGGCAGGTGTATAGAACAAGCTAGGAACACAATTATATTTCTCATTGTTGTTGTTATATGCTGCTGAGTCGCTTGTGACTCATAGGGACCCTATGTACAACAGCCCTAAACTCTGCTCTATCCTGTGACAACCTTATTGTCTCTGACACATCTACCCCCATTACCCTAGTCACTGAGTCAATCCATCTTATCGAGGGTCTTCCTCCCCTGCACTGTCCCTCCACTCTCCCAAGCATTATGTCCCTCTAAAGGGACTGATTCCTCCTTGCAACAAACCCAAAGTATGTCAGACGAAGCTTTAGAATCCTTGCCTCCAAGGAGCAGCCTGGTTTCATCCTCTTCAGAATGAACCTGCTTGTTCTCCTGGCAGTCCATGGTATAGTTAATACTCTTCTCCAGCACCATAGCTCAGGAAAAATTATTTAAGTGATATTTGAACTGGCTTATCATCTATTCAACAAATGATTCCTGGGTACCTATCTGGTGCCTGGCCCTGTTCCAGGTCCTGATAATACATTGATAAAACAACACAGTGTTTCTGCCTTCCTGGGGCTTATTCTAATGGGAGGTGCAGATACTAAGCTTAAAAAATAAGAGAGCTTTTTATGACAACAATCTGGAACAAGAGGTGCATTGAAAGTAGGCTGGAGGAGGATGAGGAGGGAAGGGGAGAGAAGAAAATGTGTAATACTGAATGAATAAAAAGAAAAAAGAAAAAAAACAGCCTCAGATTGTGATACATGCTTTAAGGAATATAAAAATGTATGTATTTGCCAAGCCAAAGGCAAAGGGCTATGTGTTTGTCTGAGGGTCTGCATTAGGTCTCACTAAGGTGACCTGAATATAACCTAAGAGAGGTAGAGAGAATCTCAGAAGGACAACATCATCATCAAGCTCTTTTAAAAAAATGATAAATTTTATTATTTTTTTGTGTGTACTGTCAAATCAGATCTGACTGGTACAAGAGACTTCCCCTCCTTCTCTAGCAAAGCATCTGGTGGATTCAAACTGCATACCTATGGGACTGCAGTGCAGCTTCTTGCCACTAGGCCATGAGAGCTCCCTATCAAGCTCCTTCTGAGAACTACACTCATACACTCAGCATAATGGGATCAGGTCACTACAGGTCTGAACTGTCTGTGAGCACTATATATTAGCAGTGTTTTAGGTTTTATGTGTTGTATGGTATGATTTGGTCAGTTATTCTCTAGGTCTTGGGATGTTCAAAACCTTTTTCCAATGCACAACCAGGTTTATTGCTGCTTTGCTCACAATAGCAAAGAGTTGGAAACAACCCAAGTGCCCATCAACAAATGAATGGATAGAGAAGCTCTGGTATATTCATACAATGGAATACTATGCTGCATTGAAAAACAAGGAACTCATGCAATATTATTCAAAATGGGTGACTCTGGAGGACATTATGCTGAGTGAAATATCTCAGTCACAAAAGGACAAATACTGCAGAGTTCCACTGTTGTAAAATGGGTCTGACATCAGGGTTGGGGGAAGACAGAGAAGGAGGGGATGAATGTATACTGCATTGAAACAGATGAAGGAGAGAACTATTTAAAAGTGATATGTGATTAGGTATTATTTTAATGACAGGAGTCCAGAACGAAGGCTGCATAATGGAGGGACTTAGAGGGAGGGACAGTATAACAATGAAAGATTTTTCTTTTACTTTTCAAAGAGAAGAGCAAACTGGGGGGGTGGGGTGGGCACGGAGAAAAGTGCAACAATGAATGAATGGAAATCCAAAGTCTCTGTAAACTTTCAATAAAATTAGTAATTTTTAAAAACTCAGTAACAACTTTTTCCATATAAATTAATGATAACTGCTTCTTTCCTTTATACCATTGTTGTTATTGTGTACATTTGAGGTGAAACCTCACACACAGCTGACCCTCCAGCAGGTTTTCAGAGGCAGTTAATTGCAAGGGAGGAGACTGCCCATCTTTCTTCTGTGGAGCGGCTGGTGGATTGGAACTGCATGCCTTCAGGAAAGCAGTGCAGCTTCTTGCCACTAGGCCACCAGAGCTCTTTATGCCATTATAACTTACACAAGCTTTCATAGAAATACTCTATTTTTGGATCACAAGGAAAACCTGTATATGCAGAGGCCACCTCTGTTTCTTTCCTTCTGCTGGTACCATACTGGGCGTGCTGAGGTGTTCGGATCTAACCTGTGGACAAGGCACATTCACTGGAGGTTTCACAACACGGGGTACATAAGTGACATGTGCTTACAGCGGTGTCTGAAGCCAGCTCACACATGTTCAGAAATATTATGAGCCAACTTGACATCACATTTATAACATGAAATTGGCTACAGTGGGAATATTTATGTCACAAATGTTGGCAAACATGAAAAAGTCAAGGTTTTTACTCTTTAAGGAGTTTTGGAGGCTTAGTCAGTAGGGTGTTTTGCTGCCAAACCAAAGGCGGGGGGTTCAAATCCACTAGCTGCTTTGTGGGGAAATAGGTGAGCAATCTCCTGCCACGTGATTTACTGCCTCTGAAAACCACTAGAGAGTTTGCTATGAGTTAACTCTGAATTGGCAGCAATAAGCTTGAGGGTTTTCCCCTCTATGAAGTCTGGGTGATGCAGTCGATTAAGCATTGGAACGCTAACAGAAAAGTCAATAAAAGTGGCCCACTAGCCACTTCACAAAAGGAAGATGTGGTAGTCTGAATCTGTAGAGATTTACAGCTTTGGAACTCCTATGGTGCAGTTCTCCTTTGTCCTGCAGGTCTGTTTTGAGCTAGAATGGAATTTGATGGCAGTGAGTCCCCCTAACAATCTGGATAGTCAGCATCTGTCAGCATACCACGGTACATATGTGTTAATCTGTATTGTTGTTACATACTCTCAAGTCAGAACCAACTGAGAGACAGTTAATCATGTGAGGAGACTTCCCCTTTTTTTTCTACAGAGCAGCTGGTGGATTCAAACTGGGTGCCTCTGTGCTGGCAGTGCAACTCCTCTCCACTAAGACATCAGAGCGCCCTGCATTACAGAATACTAACTCTGTGAAGTGTCATATAGTTCTCTACGAGTATGTGTGCTTGGGAACACACATTACAATTACCTGAGCAACCTCAAACAACACACATCTGCCTGCCCAACCATCTCACTAGATCAAGAACATTTGTTAAGAGGATGTTAGCAGTGATGAAATTGGAAGATGATGGGACCAGCCACAGGGACAAGGAGGAGAGTTTTGAGAGAGCTAGAAGTAGAATGCATGAACTTTGTTATTTACTCACAGAGAAACATTTTCCTTTGTATCATTTCAGAGTTTAATCATAGGTTCATTTCTGAGTTATTTTCTAATATCTGATGTTTTCTCTTTGCCTTCCAACAGGGCAAAAACTGCATCTGTTTGCTCATTACTGTGCCTCCAGAGTTAAGTGAAGAAAGCAATGAGGATGTGAAGGGGTAGAAGTCAAAATGGCATTCAGATTTCTAGTTCAGGTGACAGAAAGGAGAAATAGAGAAAAAGAGTAAGTGTGGTAGGTGATGCTGAGGGAAGGCTGTGGAATTTGTTAACTTGAAAGACCTGTGATATCTAGTGACATCCAGCTGGGAGAGACTCTTGATTATAAGATGGGATCCTACGTTCTTCCATTAGAATTTGTATCGCCACTAAGGGAGTATAAATTTCCTTATCTCAAGACTCACCCGAACCTCAGCCTCTCGGGGCCTTCCATTGAGGTCGCACTTGGACCCATTCCCATAGGTTTGGCTGTGGTAGCGCTTCAGGCGATGCTGCTTGGAAGCCTAGGAGGACAGCAGGTAAGAAAGATTGGGGATGAGAGAGATTACCTGGAGGAAGAATGACACCATGTTCCACAAGGACCTTAAAGACCAGGCCCCAGGTGTCTTTGCTCAAATAACCACCAAGCCGCCAAAAGATGCCGCCAATTCTAACCCAGGGGTCTGAGGTTGTAGCCAGGACCCTTGACCCTCCCAAATCCATATTTTTACCACCTTGGCTGTTTCATCATCCCAGTCAAAGGCCGATTGGTAGTAGCCAAGATAGAGGACTTCACCTTTGATCTCAGAATCTGCAAGAGCAATCACAGTGGAGCACCATTACTCCTTCTGAGAGAAATGGGGAGTGAGTTAAGTCACCTCCCATGGCATGTGGCTGAGAGCTTAGGGACTCACTCACCTTCCATGTGGTACTGCTGGATGTGGCGTCCATAACAGAATTCATATGTCCACCAGTCCTTAGTCTGACAATTGAAAAATGGACAATCAGGAGGATGGAGTGGGGATTTGTCCTCCTAGAATTAATCCTGGTTCCAAGACACACAATTTCTCATCTCTCTCCACATCCAAACCTAATTCTCTAGCCTGTTAATAAGGAGAGAACACCATTCTGTGATTTGGGCTGATACCTCTGAAGTCTGTTTGCCACCCTTGGTCTTTCCACTCTTCTCTTTATACTTGTATTTATCCTTCTCACCCCCAACCCCTCAATAAGGACAAGAAATCACAGTATCCTTGGAGATCTCAGATCAGGCTCAACCTCAAATAACATTAAAACAGTCCTTGTACTGTTCTAGACATTAGGGATATAGCTGTGACTAGAGAAAGCTCCTGACTTTATGAAACTTACATGCTATTGTAAGGACTCTGCGGAAAAATAAGTAAATAAATAAACGAAGAGGATGATTTCAGATAAAGGTGCTAAGATGAAAACAAAATAAGAGAGAGTGACAGGGGCCAGAGATAACTCTACTAGGGTTTATGAAGAAGGCACTAAGGAGGTGTTTCTTCTACCTTACAGTCCCTTTTAAGGCCCCGCACCTAACCCTTAGTCTGAGAGCTCTCCTAAACCTCCTCTACATTCAGAACCACACAGTGATTGCAGGATTCTTTGCATCTTTTCTTTCTGTGCCTTCTACTCTAGCGGTTGTCTTAACTCTTACAGGTCCTCTAGATCCATCCTCATTCTCCAGCACCTTTGTTCTCATAAGACTGCTGGTTCCCAAGTCCTGTTTCATCCATTCCAGTCCCTTTTACCTTCAGTAGGCAGGGAGCATCTCTCATCGGACTCAACAACTCAGGGATCCCAGGCCCTTGGTAAGCAGGTGTCTCCTCTTCCCTTTCACGCTGGAAGTGAATGGCTCCAGCTGGCAATCGACACTCGTAGCGCTGTTTATACTTAGAGGAGACGATCACCACGTCCGAAGCCTGGTTCTAAGAAAGAAGGGAGTGGGAGTAGGGGGGCAGGGAGGCAAAGAGAGGCTGGGATCAGGGAGAACAACAAGATCCCTTTTCAGACCCCGGGGAACAGCCCAGCGGGAGACAGAATGAACCACGAATTCTCCAGCTGTGCTCCGTAGATGACCGGAGAGAGCATTCCCACTTGGCCTCTAGGGAGGAGCCTGAGCGTTTTAACGAGAACTAGGACCAGGAGGCTGACAGCAGGAAGCCCCGCCCTCCCAGTCCCGGGCCCCAAAGGAACGGGTTCAGTCGGTGAGCCCCTGGAGTCACTGCAACAACACCCCTATCTACTCTTCTTGACTTTCCCCTAGGCTTCTGCTCTAGGTTCCGCCGTGCCCTCATCTGTATTATTCTCTTGCCCCTTCGGTCTTGGACCCTTGACCCTCCACCTCCATGCTTCCTCACCTGCCCTCCCATGACAGGCAGAGGTATGATCTCGATCCCATAACGCATCTCACTCAGCTCTTCCAGGTTCAGGCTTCCGACAGCACCGGTCAGACTTGCGGGTAATAGTAGCCCTAGAAGCAGCAGCTCCAATACACTGGACAGCAGCATTCCTGCCGCCATCTTTAGTTCCCCTCCTCATCAAGAGCAACTCTTTCCGCCCTAAACCTGGCAGTGGCTTCAGCCCGCCCATTAATGAAACAAGGTCTCATTGGCTCTATGCGCTGTCCTTCTCAGGTACTTTATTTTCATTTGTAAACGTGGCTCCAAAGCTCACCAGGAGGTGGATCACGACTAATAGCAAATCACTCGCTGCATGTGATTAGTCGGAGGTCTTAGCCAATCATTGACGAGATCAGATCCCCTCCCGCCCCCTATTGGTTCCAAAGAGGTGTGGTTTTTACGAGGGGCTGTTTTAAGCGGTTTCGTCTATTCTCACGCAGCTGTCATGTGCTTTTCTGTCTTTTTTTTACTTTGTTAGTCCTCTTCAACTTTGTATACCGCCCCAGCAAGGTGGAGGATTTTAGCAGGGGCGTGTGAGCGCGATGTCCTTTGAAGTTATTTAATACCTGTTGCACAACAACAGTGGGGCGTTTGTTGGTTTGTTTGCTTGTTTTTTGTGGTTGTAGTCCAATCGCTTCTGACTTATGACCACCTTCTATGGAACAGAACAAAACTTTGCCCAATTTTGAACATCTTCATGAAAGATTTTATGTTTCAGCCCATTTTTGTGGCTGTTGTGTAGTACCTTCCAACTTTCATCTAACATTGCTTGAGCAATATTGTGTGTGACCCATAAGATTTTCACGGGCTAATTTTCTGAAAGTAGCTCACTAGGCTTTTCTCTCTATTGTGTCTTCATCTGAAAGCTCTGCTGATACCTGTCTACTGTGGGGAATCCTGCTGATACTTGAAATACTGGTGACAAAGCTTTCAACATCATTACAACAAGTAAACTACCACAATACAAAATGGCAAACAAGTGGTAACATTGTACAGAAACATACTTCTTTTCATAATACATACAACTTTAAGACAAGCTGATAATTTGTATCAAGTAAGGACAAAGAGAAAAGAAGAACAGTGATCTTTTAGGAACTGGACAGCAAATGGAGAAAATAGAAATGGTTTTGTAGACCGGAGAAAGTTGATACCTTAACAGAGATAAACAAGAGCCTAATTATATCCTCAAGCAGGACACTGAAAAACGTTTTCTGGGGAAGTGGACCAACTTAAGGGAAAACACCCAAAAGATACTTTCATTATGTTTTTCTCAGTGAAATGGCTGAACCAATCCTACAGGTAACCTTTGCCTGCACCCCCACTGCCCACACAGATTTCAAATAGGCTTTTTAATGTGCTCATTCACACAGCAAAGATTGTATGCATGGCATAGGGTTGGCCAAGTTCACTGGACAGCACCTAACAATAGCAATTGTTTGTTGTTGTTATGTGCCGTCGAGTCATTTGCTACTCATAGCGACCCTATGTACAACAGCCCTAAACCGTGCTCTATCCTGTGCCAATCTCATTGCCTCTGACACACCCATCCCGAGTACCCCAGTCACTGAATCAAACCACCTCATAGAGGGTCTTCCCCTCCTGCGCTGTCCCTCTACTCTACCCAGCATGATGTCCCTCTCTAAAGACCTTTCTCTCCTTACAACATGTCCAAAGTATGTCAGACGAAGCCCCAGAATCCTTGCCTACAAGGAGCAGCCTGGTTTAATCCTCTCTACGATGAATCTGTTTGTTTTCTTGGCAGTCCATGGTACATTCAATACTCTTCTCCAGCCCCACAGCTCAAAGGCGTCAATTCTCCTTCTATCCTCCCTAGTCATTGTCCAACTCTCTGATGCATAACAAGTGATTGCAAAAACCATGGCCTGTATCAGGCGCACCTTAGTCTCCAGAGAGACACTGTTGCTCTTGAGTATTTTGGAGAGGTCCCTAACCGCAGACTTTCCCATCGCAATACGTTTTTTTTATTTCCTGGCTACTGGTGCCAAGAGTGTTGACCGTGGAGCCGAGCAAACTGAAGCTGTGAACAATCTCAATCTCTTCGCCATCCATCCTGATGCTACCAATTGGTCCAGCGGTGAAAATTTTTGTCTTCTTGACATTGAGCCTCAGTCCATATTGAAGGCTGCAGTCCTTGACCCTCTGGAGTAAGTGCATGAGGTCCTCCTCAGTTTCAGCGAGCAAGGTTGTGTCATCTGCATAACGCAGATTGTTGATAGACCGTCCACCAATCCTAACGCCACGCCTCTCCTCATAGAGCCCCGCCTCTCGGATAATCTGCTCTGCATACAGGTTGAAAAGAATAGCAACATTCTTAATGTAAGCAGAGAACCAAAGATCATCGGAAATTTAAAGAAAGTCTTTCATATTTAAGAGATCAAAACAAACAAAGAACAATAAAATGAAAGGAAATAGATTTCAAGGGGGGAAATACCAAACTGAAATAAGAAACATCACTGATAACATCAGAAAAAAGTAACAATAGTAAGTGATTTGAAAAATAACTCTATTGTTGTAATTGTTAGGTGCTGTTGAGTCAAGGCCCTCTTGACAGGTATGAACACTATCCTGTGCCATTCTCACTCTTTCTGACACACTAGAGCCCCATTGCAACAGTCACTGTCAATCCAACTGGTTGAGCATCTTCCTCTTTTTAGCTGACCCTCTACCTTTCCAAGCCTGATATCCCTCTCCAAGCCCCTCTGAGCAACATGCACAAACTATGTGAGATGACGCTTTATCGGCTTTGCCTCCAAGAAGCACTCTGGCTGCACTTTTCTCAAGACAGAACTATTTGTTATTTTGACAGTACATGGGATATTCAGTACTCTGCTTCACACCACAATTCTTCCTCTATCATCATGATGCACAGCAAGTGATTGTAAAGACTATGGCCTGAATCAAACTCACCTTAGTCCTCAAACTAGTATCATTGCTCCTCAGTAATTTGGGAAGATCCCTAACAGCGGTCTGCCTAATGCAGTACTCCTCCTGATCCTCTACCTACTGGTACCAAGGGTATTGATTGTGGATTCAACTAAAATGAAATTGTTGACATTTTCTATCTTTTCTCCATCTACCATGATGTTGCTTGTCGGTCCAAAGGTGAGGATTTTTTTCTTCTTGACATTCATGTACAGTCCATATTAAAGGCTGTAATATTTAATCTTCTGCAGCAAGGGTTTCAAGCCCTCTGCACTTTCAGCAAGCTAGGTTATGTCATCTGCATAACGTAGGTTGTTGATGATAATCCTGAAATCACATTCTTCTTCATAAAGTCTGACTTCGTGAATGATTTGCTCATCAAAATGATTAAGTGTTGTTGTTGTTGTTAGGTGCCGTTGAGTCAAGTATGACCCACAGCAATCTGAACCATGTTCAAATTGTGTAAGTATGGAGAAAACATACAACCATGGCATATACCCTTCCTGTTTTAAACCGTGCAGTGTTCCCTTGTTCTATTCACACAACAGTTTTTTAATCTAGATATAGGTTTCATATCAGCATGATTAAGTGTTCTAGGATTCCCATTGTTTTCAATATTAGCTGTAGTTTTTCATGATCCACACAGACAAATGCCTTTGTAGTCAGTAAAACACAAATAGACTTTCTGCTAGAATCCTCTGCTTTCAGCCTTCTGACATCAGCAATGATATCTTCAGTGCCATGGCCTCTTCTAAACCCAGCTTGAATTTCTGACAGTTCTCTCTCAAAGTACTCTTCATTTTTGGATGATCTTTGGGAATATTTTGCTTACATATGATGTTATTTGATAATTTCCACATTCTGTTGGATCATCTTTCTTGGTCATAGGAAAAAATATGGATTTCTGCCACTCAGTCAGCCAGATAGCTGTACTCCAAACTTCCTCGCATAGACTGGTGAGCACATCTAGGGTTGCATCTATGAATTAAAATATCTCAATTGGTATTTCATCAACTCCTTGGGACTTATTTTTTGTTAGTGCCTTCAGTGCAGCTTAAACATCTTCCTTAATTACCACTGGCTAATATTGTTCATATGGCACTTACTGGACTTTTTTATTCAAAAATTTCAATCAATTCCTTTAAGCACAGTGACATCTTCTTGGATTTCTTCCTGGATCATTCAGGATTTTGCCTATAACATCACTCAGTATTGCAATTTGATGCTTGGATTTGTTTTTCCATTCCTCAACTTCAGAAAGACTGAGCAATTAAAAATTTAGAGGAAAGAGGCAAATTCCTAGAAACTGACACCCTACCCAGATTTACAGACAACTATTGAACAGATCCATCACAAAAGAAATTTATCAGTTCATGAGAAGACTTCCTCTTCCCCTTAAAAAAATCATGGCACAGATGGTCTAATTATCATTAATTCTACTTAAATATTTTAAAAAAATAGAAAAAGTAGGAACACTCCTAGAGTCATCCTATGAAGCAAGCATAACCTTAATACAAAATCCAGGCAAAGACATGACTGAAAAGGAAAACCTAGAGAAAATAGCTCATATCTCATTTTTGTATAGATGCAAAAATCCTAGCCAAAAGAATTCAATAATGTATATTTTTTAAAAAATCATTACAACCAAGTGGGATTTATAACAGGTATGCAAGGATGGTTCAACATAAGAAAAAAATTAATGTAATTCATCATATTAACAAAGCAAAGAACAAAACCCACATTATCCTATCAATTGATGCAGAAAAGGTCTTCGACAAAATCTAACACCCCTTCCTAATTAAAACACACAACAAAATAGGTATACAGGAAAATTTCCTCAACACAGTGAAAAGTATATATACACAACCAAGAGTCAAGCCCCAGCGAACTGGGAAGGCTTGGCAGAGGGACCAGCTCACCTCTCTTGGACGGGGCAACACCTACGCCTTCCCTCCACCCAATGAGTACCATTTCGGCCTGTTTCCCTTTCAGTTTAGAGCACTCAAGCCTGTGGCACTGGAACTAAAAAAACAAACAAAAACAAAAACCCAAACAAACAACAAGCTAACAAAGAAAAAACCTGATGTCTCAAATGCGTTAATGGTTGGCCACCCAATGCGGACAGAGAGTGGGGTGGAGCTCCCCGATTAAAACAAGCTTGGAAGGAGGAGTGGCAT